GGGATTACAGGCATGTGCCACCATGCCCAGCTAATTTTTTGTATTTTTAGTAGAGACGGGGTTTCACCATGTTGACCAGGATGGTCTCGATCTCTTGACCTCGTGATCCACCCTCCTCGGCCTCCCAAAGTGCTGGGATTACAGGCTTGAGCCACCGCGCCCGTCCAGCCATGCTTTTAAAAAATGAATTGAGTAATGTTATATTTGCTTTTAATTCTTATTAATTTCTTTTTTCCCTGAGTCAATCAAATGGGAATAATGAGTTATATGTTTGCTCTAATTATACCTATATTATTTTATACATTAAATTTTATCTGTAGTCTCTTTATGTTGTTATCCTGGAAATAAATGTGAATATGCCTCAAACTTTATGCCTCACAAAGACAATTTTTGGAATTTTTTATTTTTTCTATTAAATTTAAATATAGAACTCTGTGTAGCCATTGTCACTCCGCTGTCATCATTATTAGTAACTGAGCATGCAAATTATCTAAATTGTTATATAGAACATACTGTACTTACATAATACCACGAATAATTGCCTATAATTTGTTTTAGCTAATTTCTTGTTGTTTTCTTTCTTACTTTTAGTCCACAGCAATGAAAAAAATAATGTATTACAATATGCGTATAAAAACTGTTCAGAGGCATCTTAGTGAAGACCTTGAAAAACTGAATGATCGAAAATGCAAATTACAAAAGTTGCCAGAAGAACGAATAAAATTATTCAGCTTTGTGAAAAAAACTGTAAGATTTAATAATGTAAAATTCCAGTGGCCTACCTTAAGAAAACTGCTAGATGAGATAGCAAGCAATATATTTTATATTTTATATATCTATATACACATATATAATACACACATACACATACCACACACACACACACACACACACCCATAATTACTACTGAGTTTCAAGTTAAGTTTGCCCCCAAAAAAGTTTTGATTCCAGGTACTTAGCTAAGCTGCATTCTGTGCTTAGATATCTGCAATTCAAAAAAGGTATAGGCTTATTAAATTATGAATCTCTTAAAAACAATCTATGTATTTCAATATGATTTAGAGTGTTACAAAAATTCTTAGACTTATTTCAGCTGCATTTTTATTAGATACCAGCAGGCTGTGTGCAAAATTCATTTTCTGGCTTAAAGTGCTAAAAAAAGAAAAAACCCTTTACCAATAATATTAAGGTATAAAACGAAGCGGGAACTTTAAATTAAGCTATATTTTAGTAGTATGTATGCATTTTTATTTAGAATAAATTGAATTTCCTTTACCAAAAGTAGACCCTGAGAAATTAAGCATTATTTAACTCAAAACAGAATCTTGTATATATAATTATTCCTGTATTTTTTTCAGTATGAGGAAATAGATTATTTATAATATATTATCATATAATTTATAATATAATAGTAAAATATAATATAATATAATATAACAATATAATAATATATATAGTCTATTACCTCATGCTGAAAAAATACAGGAATAATTATATATTTTTATATAAATTAATATAAAATTTATATAAAATATATTTTAAAATTTATATAAAAATACAGGAATAATTATATATATGTTGAAATGGATTATTCAACAAATGGTGTTAGAAAAATAGTCAAACTATTTCGGAGTTGGAGACTTGGATCCTTCATTTGTACTTTACCAAATGTAAATACCAGTAGGAAAAAAAAGAATTAAATGTAAAAATGAAAACATGAAAAATTGAAGAATAAATGTATAGATTGGTATATTTATCTGATCTCAGCCTGCTAAATTAAAGAAATACTAGAAATCACAAAGGAATAAAATATAGATATGAGTTTTAAAAAACCAGTAAAATAGTTTTATATTTAAAAGCATCATTAATACATGTAAATAACAAATGAATATCTGAAAAAATGTCTTCAACAAACATGATGGACAAAGGGTCAATATCTCTAGTATAAAAAAGTACTCACGTAAAACAAAATAAAAGGTAAATGTCTAAATAGAAAAGTTGAGCAAAGTACATAAACTAGAATTGTACAAAAGTAGAAATAAAAATGACTAATAAGCATTTGAAAGAACTCAATTTGATGATTAATTTCCAATTGTCAATTAAGATAACAAGAAACTGTTTCACCTATAAACTGTCAAAGTATGACAAATGACAGTACTCAGGCTGGTGAAGATGGATGTGACACACTAGATATCACTTATGGGAGTGTAAATTTGCTCATATATATAACAGCCCCAAAAT